TGAATACTTACTAGCATAATGAGCTGTATTCTGGAATTGCCAAGAAAAATATACTGCCAAAACTGAAAGGAACAGGCGTTCATTTACAAGTATTTTAGCACCTGCTATTTCTGAGGTCTGATACTATTTAAAACACCTAACTATCCCTACAAAGAAAATTAAAGGTATAGAAAAAAAAAAAACTTCTAAAGGAAAGGAATAGAAGTAATGGTTTTTAAAGAATATTTACAAAACATAACTCTCAAAAGCTCTAGGTGATATAATACATGAATAATGTGTCAAACTATTAGATGAAAAATTTGAAGAACACACTGAAATGCAAGCTAAAGTCACAGATTTTGCTGCATCCAATTAAATCTTAATTTCCAGAAGTATACAACCAATTTATTCAGCTTTTCTACATATAAATTAGTACAGCCCTTCATAGTTTATAAAATAGCTCCACACAGTTGATCCTTAAAGCAGATTTGAGAAGATAGTCCTGTGTTACTCATTTGATACGTATTTATTAAGAACCTACTCTAAAAGAGTACTTTATCGGGTATTGAATACATATGAATATATAGTCATAAAATAGACATGTTCTTTCCCCTCATGGAGCTAGTTATGAAGTAAAAGACTGAACAAATGTGGAGAAAGATATATGACTTAAAGGCAACAAACAATAACTTAATTTGATAGACTGGTTAAAGACTGTCTTTCCCAAGAGGCAATGTTCAACTTAAGATCTAGAAGATGGGCAAGAAGCAGCCAGCTGCGCAAAGATCTAGGCAAAAAAACAGAGTTAGGGAGACGACATGTATAAAGGCCCTGAGGAATTTAAAAGCTTAGTGGGTTAGAGAAGGGCTATCCCATACAAATATGAGGTAGACCACAAATGCAAATATTATTTTAAATTTTCTAGGAGCTATACTTTAAGAACACAAGAAAGTGAAATTGTATCTTTTATTTAACCGAAATATATCCAAAACATTATTTTGACAGATTTTAATGAAATATTTTACATTCTTTATTTAATACTAAGGGTGAAATTCAGTGTATATTTTACACTTCTAGCACATCTCAATTCAGACTAGCCACAGTTCAAGTGCTCAATACGTGGTTAGTGGCCTCCATATTGAACAGCACAGGTTAGAAGAACTAAGATAAGAGGAGACCATTAGGGGGGATCCCTGGGTGGCTCAGCAGTTTGGCACCTGCCTTTGGCCCTGTGCGCGATCCTGGAGTCCCGGGATCGAGTCCCACGTCGGGCTCCCGGCATGGGGCCTGCTTCTCCCTCCTCCTGTGTCTCTGCCTCTTTCTCTCTTTGTGTCTATCATAAATAAAAATAATAAATCTTTAAAAAAAAAAGAGGAGACCATTATAGCTAATACATAGTAATTTAAAGGGAAGTGTAGAGGGACATCTGGGTGGCTCAGCGGTTGAGCATCTGCCTTCAGCTCAGGGTGTGATCTGGGGGTCCAGGGATTGAGTCCCACATCAGGCTCCCTGTGGGAAGCCTACTTGTCCCTCTATGTCTCTGCCCCTCTGTGTCTCGAATGAATGAATGAATGAATGAATAAATAAATAAATAAATAAATAAATAAATAAATAAATGTGTAGAAAGATGAGAAGTCAATGGGTGCCCAATCAGTAATAGTCTTACAGGAAAGGAATTTGGAATCTATTTGGAGTACAACTGGAAATCACAAGATGCAAATATGCAAAGTAAAATCTGCAAAGTATGCAGAGTAAAATATGCAAAGTAAAATCTGATATTTTCTGTTTTATAAAAAGAGTACTCTCCTTTTAAACTACAAATTACATTAAAAAAATAAATAAATAAAAAATAAAAAAAAAACTACAAATTACACAGAATAAAAGCTGAAGTCGGGAGATTAGGAAGAAAGAGAAATCTAGGTGAGAAATCATTAAGGTTTAGGCTATTATGAGGGCAGCAGAGATAAAGGAAACAGATGCATGCAAGATATTGTAGAAAATGAAACAAAGTAACTTTATGATTAAATGAAAGTGAAAAAGAATGAAGGAGAAAGAAAAAACATGAGTGTAATCTACTCTGACTTGAGCAATCAGTGGTGCCATTTACTGTGACAGGAGAAACTAGCATTCTGTGGTTATTTGGCAAGGGGTGCTGAAATTGGTGGAACTGAATCAAGAATTTTTCCAAATACAAAACAAGCTTGGAGAGGCTTAGACTTACTAATAAAAACTAAAAGACTCAAACCCAGATATTCTAAAATTGGATATAATACCCTCTTGCTGGTAATATATTATTTTTCCATAATTCAAAAACAAAAAAAAAATCTATTAGGATGTAAGTAGTAATGCCTCCTGTACATACACCAGCAAAGTCCTCAATTAAAAGGGCTATATAGGTCTTTATAACTCTCATATTTTGAAAAAAAGAAAGGAAATATTTAGCTTCAGTTAATATGCCTAGGAGTCTGAAATTAAATCTACAGAAAACATTCTCTAATCCAAGCTCCAGAGAACAATAGCAAAGTAGAAGTCAAATATCAGAGCACCTGGGTAACTCAGTCAGTTAAATGACAGACTCTTGATTTCAGCTCAAATTATCATCTTAGGATTGTGATATTGAGCCCTGTGTGAAGCCTGGTTAAAATTCTCTCTCCTCCTTCTGCCCCTCCTCCACCCTCTCTCACCAAAAAACAAAACAAAACAAAAACAAAAAAAAACAAAAACAAAAACAAAAACAAAAAAAACAGCCAAATAGCCAAATATCATGACTTCAAAATCAGTGCCAAACTCCTACAGCCAAATCAGAAGTTGTTCAGTAGTTCAGAAGTTGACCAATGACTACTTTTTAGAAGAAATAGGGCGGTCTTAACATGCTGACAACGACTCAAAAATCTGGCTACGTAAGCTTCAGGGATTTAATATTCCTTCTAAGGTCCTTACCTCCACTACAAAAATACTTAGGGTAAGTACAGGGCCAGGCACTGAGTGGGATGATGAGTAAGACACATAGTTCTTGTCTTGTCCTATCCTCAAGTAGCTCACCCTAATAGAGTGTGAGGAGACAAACATGGGAACAATTAGAATATGGCAAACGCCACAGAAAAGTATATACAGTTCACCCTTGAGCAACACAGCAGTTAGGGTGCCAACCCTCCCACTACTTGTGCAGTCAAAAACCTATTTACAGTTGACCCTTGAACAACACAGGTTTAAACTGTGTGTGTACACTTATACAGACCTTTTACAATACAGTACTATAAATGTATTTTCTCTTCCTTATGACTTTCTTAATAACATCTTTTCTCCAGCTTACTTTATATAGCATATAATACATATAACATACAAAATATGTTAATCAACTGTTTATGTTATCAGTAAGGCTTCCAGTCAACAGTAGGCTATCAGTAGTTAAGTTTTCAGGGAGTCAAAAGTAATACATGGATTTAACAGTGCAGGGGTTCTGCATCCCCTAAGCCCCATGTTCTTCAAAGGTCAACTGTGCTGTCATTCTTTCTGACCACCCAACATCTGCATCCCCATTAGTATTCTGGAATTTCCCCCATCTAATTCTAAAAAGTACCAGATAATCATTCTCCTGGTCTCTCTTGAAAATAATTCAAAGCATGGACCAAGGTTCCCATATCTACCTATTTATCTCTCTCTTTCCTTCGTCCGTTACCCCCAAATCTAGAAGCTTAATATACCAAATATTAGTTATCTCACAGTTTCTGTGTGGCAGGATTTAAGTCATAGTTTAACTGGGTGATTCTGGCTCAGGACCTATCATAAAATAGCAGGCAAGCTCTTGGTCAGTGCTATCATCTTTGAAGGTTTGACTAGGCCTAGAAAATCTGCTTCAAGATTTCATCTGCACATGGTTATTAGCAGAGGGTTGCAGCTCCTCACATGAGAACCTCTCTAGAAAACTGGTGAGTATCCTCACAGTGTGGCAGCTGACTTCCCCCAGAATAAATAAGTAAAACAGAAGATGTAATACCTTATATGACTTTGCATCTTAAGTCACATTCTTTCATTTCTGCAATAACCTATTTATTCCACAAGTCATTTTTAGTGTAGAAGGAAACTATACAGAATGTAAATATCAGGGTTATCAAAAACCATGCTAACTACCCTATGAAATATATTATGGCTATATGTTGTATTGTTTATAAATATATACATATTCATGAGCATAAAATATTATGGTTGGAAGGAGGGGGGCACAATGGTTAGAAGTGCTTTGTAATGCCTTATTTGTTAAGGTTGGTGATGGGAATATAGGCATTTATTACACTTTTTTTAATACCTTCTGAGTTTGAAATATTTCATTATAAAAAAAAATCCAATGCTTTGAATAAAGTAAATGAATATTTTCAAACATATTACTGTCAGCACATACATTAGTAAATGAAGTTGTTTTGAAAGACTATATGGAAGTATATATAACAAAATTTACATGTGCATAAGTTGACTCAGGAACGTGTCTAAGGATGTATGTACTAAAATTAATCACAGAACTATTTCTTTTTTTTAAGATTATTATTTATTTATTCAAAGGGGGGCGGGGCAGAGACACAGGCAGAGGGAGAAGCAGGCTCCATGCAGGGAGCGTGACGTGGGACTTGATCCCGGGTCTCCAGGATCACACCCCAGGCTGCAGGCAGCACTAAACCGCTGCACCCAGGGGTTGCCCTCACAGAACTATTTCTAATATGAAGCCACTGGTGATAATCTCAATGCCCATTAAAGAATGAGCAAATAAATGACAACAGTATACAACAGAATGGAGCCATTAAAAAAAAAAGAAATTCCCAATATGATGGAACCAATCAGTTATTGGTGAAGAACAGGATGTGCAGTATAATTTCATTTTTTGATAGGTTATTTTTCAAGCTATTAACAGCTACCTCAAGAAAGTGAAAATTTAGCAAGGGAAATAAAAGCAGACAGAGAAAACTTTCCTTTTGTACTTTAAAGACTTCCATTCTCAAAAATTTTTACTCTGTCCTCTATAGGCATACCTCAGAGATATTGTGGGTTCAGTTCCAGACCACTGCAATAAAGAGAGTTAAATGAATTTTTTGGTGTCCCAGTATATATAAAAGTTGTTTACACTATATTGTAGTCTATCAAGTGTGTAAAAAGCATGTCTAAGAAAACAATGCATATACCTAATTTAGAACTATTTTAATGCTAAAAAATGCTATCATCTGAGCTTTTAGCAAGTTGTAATCACTGATCACAGATCACCATGACAGATAATGAAAAGGTTTGAAATATTGTGACAATCACCAAAATGTGACAGAAAAATGAATAAGGAAATGCTGTTGGAAAAATGGTGCCAATAGACTTGCTTAGCCAGAGTTACCACAAACCTTCAATTTGTAAAAAATAGTACCTGCAAGCACAATAAAGCAGAGCACAATACAACGAGGTATTTTGTAATTTCTGTGGTTGTTTTGGTTTTGTGTTAAATAGACTTTATTCTTTAGAACAGTTTTAGGTTCACAGCAAAACTGAGCAGAAGGTACAGATTTCCGAAATATCCCTTGCCCTCATGCATACATAGCCTCCCAACACCAACATGCCCCACCAGATAGAGTATCTGCTACAACTGATAAAAGTAATGGGATACCATTATCATTCAAAGCCCATCGTTTACATTAGGGTACACTCTTGGTGTCATAGTTTTGGACAAATGTATAATGACAAGTATTCATCATCATAGTACCATACAGAGTAGCTATACTGCCCTGAAAATTCTCCTATGCTCTCCTTCCAATCCCCTCAACTCTTGGCAACCACTGAGCATTACATTATCTCTATAGTTTTGCCTTCTACAGAATGTCATGTTAATGGAATCACATTGTGTATAGCCTTTTCAGACTGGCTTCCTTCACTTATAAATAGGCATTTAAGGGGTGCCTGAGTGGCTCAGTCAGTTAAACATCTGCCTCCTGACCTCAGGGTCATGAACTCAAGCCCCTGCACTGGGCTCCACCCTGGATATAGAGGGCAGGAGGGAGAAAGAACATTCTCCATGTATGTCATGGCTTGATGGCTCCTTCTTTCTTAGCACTGAATATGATTCCATTGTCTTGATGTACCAGTTTATTTATCTATTCAACTATTGAAAGATATCTCGGTTGAGTTCAAGTTTTATCAACTAGAAATAAAGCAGGTTTTTCTGTGGACATAGTTTTTCAAATCATTTAGGTAAATACCCAGAAGCATGACTTCTGAATTGCATTCATATAAACTTCTGAATTTAGTTTTATAAGAAACTGCCAAACTGTATTTCGAATTGAGTGTACCATTTTGCATTCCCACTAATAATGAATGAGAGTTCCTGTGGCTCTACATTCTTACTAGCATTTGGTGTTTTCAGTGTTCTAGATTTTGGCCATTCCACTAGGAGTATAGTGGTATCTCATCATTGTTTTAATCTGCATTTTCCTGATGACACATTATGTGGAGCATCTTTTCATATGCTTATTTGCCATCTGTAGATTTTCTCTGGTGAAGTATGTTAAGATTGTTGGTCTATTTTTAAATTATGTTGTGTTCTCAATGTTGAATTTTAAAAGTTCTCTGAAGGGATCCCTGGGTGGCGCAGCGGTTTAGCGCCTGCCTTTGGCCCAGGGTGCGATCCTGGAGACCCAGGATCGAATCCCACGTCGGGCTCCCGGTGCATGGAGCCTGCTTCTCCCTCTGCCTATGTCTCTGCCTCTCTCTCTCTCTGTGACTATCATAAATAAATAAAAATTAAAAAAAATATAAAAAAATAAATAAATAAAAGTTCTTTGAATATTTTGGGTAACAGTATTATCAGATATGTCTTCTGAAAATATTTTCTCCCAGTCTGTGGCTTGGGAGAAATTTTTAATTTTAATGAAGTCCAGGGATCAAGCCTTTGATGTTGCATCTAATAAATCATTACCAATCTAAGGCCACCTAAAATTTCTACTGTTATCTCCTAAGAGTTTTTATAGCTTTGCATTTTACATTTTCGTGTTGGATCTATTTTGAATTAATTTTTGTGAAGGATGTAAAATCTATACTTAAATTCATTTTTGTGCATGTGGAAGCCTAATTGCTCCAGCACTATTTATTGAAAAAATGATCTTTTATCCATTTTATTGCCTCCGCTCCTTTGTTAAAAATTAGTTGACTATATTTTATGGGTCTATTTCTGGGCTTTCTACTCTGTTCCATTGATCCATTTGTCTATTGTTTCACCAATATCTTATTGCCTTGATTACTGTAGCTTAAGAATGTATCTTGAAGTCAAGTAGCAGCACTCTTCCACCTTTCTTCTCCTCCTTCAAAACTGTGCTATTCTGAGTCTTTGGCTTCTCCATATAAACTTTACAATCAGTTTGTCAATATCCACAAAATAATTTTCTGGGATTTTGATTTGGATTGCATTGTATCTACACAGTTGGGAAGAACTGACTTTTTTACAATATTGAGTAGTCCTATCTATAAACATGGACTATTTCTCCATTTATTCAGTAGTTCTTTGATTTCATTCACCAGAGTTTTAGTTTTCCTCACATACACTTTGTACGTATTTCATTAGTTATGTCAGACCTTGAACATATTTCATTAGATTTAAATATGCTTCATTTTTGAGATAGTAAAAATAGTACTGTTTTCAATTTCAAATTCCACTTGTTCATTCCTATATACATAGAAAAATCAACTGACTTTGTGTACTAACATTTTTCCTGTTACTCTACTATGAAAACAGTCCATGATTTAACTTACAATTTTTCAACTTTATGATGGCGTGAAAGCGCCACACACTCAGTAGAAACTGTATTTTGAATTTTAAATTTTGATCTTTTCTCCCAGGCTAGCAACATGTGGTACAAATGCTCTTGTGAAGCTGGGCAATGGCAGTGGAGCCACAGCTGCCCATCAACTGCACAGTCATGACAGTAAGTTATGACAACTGATAAAACCATTCGGTATCCCTACAACTATCCTGTTTTTCACTTTCACTGCAGTATTCAAGAAATTACATGAAATATTCCACACTTTATTATAAAATAGGCTTGTGTCATGATTTTGCCCAGTTGTAGGCCACTCTAAGTGTTCTGAGCATGTTTAAGGTCCGCTAGCTGAAGCTATGATGTTAAATTAGGTTAGGGGTGTTAAGTGCACTTTTGACTTAGATATTTTCTACTTACAATGGATTTATTGGTTACCCCATCAAACACAGAGGAAGACTGGAAGTGTTTATTAGTCTCAGAGGAGGTTTTCCTCCTACGTATCTCAGATTTTCTACATAGATAATTACAGCATATGTGAACAAAGAGAGGTTTTTTTAGTTCTTTCCCAAACCCTGTACACCTTTTCTTTTCCTACCTTATTGCATTAACTAGGACTTTTAGTATGATGTTGAAAAGCAGTGGTAATAGGGAATATCCTTGTCTTGTTCCTGATCTTGGTAGGAAAGCTTCAAATTTCTCATTGGTAATTAAGTATGATGTTATACTTAATGTTGTAAAATACTGTACACATTTTTATATGTCTTTATCAATTTTTTTAATATATCTTTATCAAGATATATCCTCATCAAGTTCTCCTCTAGTTTATTAAGAGTTTTTATCATGACTAGGGATTAGATTTTGTCAAATGCTTTTCTACATCTATTGATAAGCTCATGTGATTTTTCTTCTTTAGTCTGTTGAAGTGATGAAAAGTGTGAAAAGTTATTTTCAAAAGTTAAATCAGCCTTTCATATTTTAGATAAATCCCACCTGGCCATGGTATGTGATTCTTTTTACATATTATTGGATTCCATTTGCTAATATTTGAGAACTTTTGTACTAAAAAAAATATATAAAAACTATATTCAGGGGATCCCTGGGTGGCGCAGAGGTTTGGCGCCTGCCTTTGGCCCAGGGCGCGATCCTGGAGACCCAGAATCGAATCCCACGTCAGGCTCCCGGTGCATGGAGCCTGCTTCTCCCTCTGCCTGTGTCTCTGCCTCTCTCTCTCTCTGTATGACTATCGTAAATAAATAAAAAAAAATTAAAAAAAAAAAACTATATTCATGAGATAGGAGTCTGTTTCTTTTCTTATAGTATCTTCATCCAGTTATGGTATTAGGGTAATGCTGGCCTCATAGAATGAGTTATTAAGCATTCTCTCTGCTTCTATCTTCTGAAAAAGTTTGTAGAGAACTGGTACTTCTTCCTTACATATTTGGTAGAATTCAGCAGTGACCCTATCTGGCCCTGGTATTATCTGTTCCGGAAGGTTATTAATTATTGATTCAATTTAACACATATGACCTATTCAGATTGTTTATTTCTTCTTACATGAGTTTTGGCAGATTGTGTACTTCAAGGAATTGGTTTTACGTTCCAAAATGCGGTCATCTTGATGAGTGTTCATGTGAGCTTGAGAAGAATGTGCATTCTGCAGATGTTGGATGAAGTAGTCTATAGACATCCATTATAATCAATTGATTACTAATGTCGTTTAGCTCAATTATGTCCCTATTGTCTGTTAGATCTGTCCATTTCTGATAGAAGGGTAATCAAATCTCCAATTTTGGTAGTAGATTCATCTACTTCTTGGAATTCTATCAGTTTTTGCCTCATTTAGTTTGATATTCTGTTTTTAGGTGCATATTAAGGATTCCACCTATTAAGGATATTAAGGATTGTTACGCCTTCTTGAAGAAGTGACTCCTTTATCATTATGTAATTCCCCTCTATCTCTGAAAGCTTTCCTTCACCTGAACTTCCTCTATCTGAAATTAATATAGTTACTCCTGCAGGGTGCCTGAATGGCTCAATTGGTTAAGCCTCGGTTTCTTGATTTCAGCTCAGGTTATGATTTCTGGATCTCGAGATTAATCCATGCATCTGGCTCCACACTGGGCATGGAATCTGTTCGAGATTCTCTCTCCCTCTCCTTTTCCCTCTGCCCCGCTTCCACTCATGCATGCTGTCTCTTAAATAAATAAATAAATAATTTAAAAATATATACATATAGTTACTCCTTTCTTTTAACTAGTGTTAGCCTGGTTTATCT